ACAGAAGCAAAACTCCATTAGCCACATGGCAGACAAAGGACAACAAAAGACATAAAAATACATACTGTTACATTTATCACATAGAACCTACACATTTCCAATTTACCGAACACATAATAGCATATATAATATAGCAGACCGCCTGAATGCAATCTGCTACACAGTCTTAAAGGGACATTGTTCCTAAAAGTCATAATATATCCAGGGATGGTTTTTAAAGGGCCAGCAGCAGCACCATACAAACCAATATGCCCAAATATTGTACTTGAAGGGCCAAATAACCCAGGGCCATAGTCATGAGGCAAGAGGCTGGCAATCAGGCTCCTCCAACAGCCAGGGGAAAATCCGGTGACAAAAGGCGTTTTGTCACACTCATACCAAAACGAGCCATACTGGTCCTCCAGTAGAGATTAAATTTTATCCTACCTCTACGAAATCAGGTCCTATCCACGTTTTGGATAATCTATTGGAATCTCAACTCACTTCCATCCCTGATTCCCCACTAGTAGCTTTTCAAGGGAAACCCCTAACCAATACAATTTTATGCTTTACATTCATATGATATCACTCCGACTAGGACATAACCCTCATTCCTTCTTGGGCCATTTATTCCGCATTGGACCAGCCACAGCTGCCTCCGGTAATCACGTACTGTAGCGGAGGGGTAGTATAAGCCACGGTATCTCCGCTGGTAACAGGAACAGCAAAAACCAATCCTCGTAAATAAATACTGCATACAATAATCCTGGTAGCTTTGTAAGAATCCTTCCTTCCCAAGAACTAGACGTCACATAGGCTGGGAGTCAACTCGCTTTTAATCACAGGTCACAGTATTTATGGGATTCCCCATGCAAGGGGTTTCCCTACTGACATTACAGAGGTTGTACAGTAGGGGACTACATGGGGAACTTAACAACCTGGACATTCAGAATTCAGAATTTTATTCATTGATTTTAGCAGGGTCATGAAATTTATTTTGAATATTTTACTAGGTTCTGATGCTAATAAGTAGCCCATTGAATCTTTAGTCCAGGTGAAATCATACTTACTTTTTATATAATTTTTATCTGCTGAGGAAGTGTTTATTTCTAAAATTAAAGATTTATTGACATACCACTCCTGTTGGAGTTGTAGGCTTCCTCAGGCCAACTATTACTACATCTGGTAGAGTTACATAAAAATTCAAGAACTATAGAAAACTGTAAGTAGATATCTAAGTAGTTATGTATACACGTAACCTCTTTTTCCCCATAATCATATTAATTAAATATTAATTGGCCTCAGATGTTTATAGAAGACAAAACCTTGTCTACCCATATACTGGCAGCTTCAAAACTAATCAATGCACGAGATTTGAAAAAAAAAATAAAATAAAAATGTCTCTCCAAAATGGAATGAGGAAGAATCTCAATATATCAATGTAAATGTAATTGGATATAATATAATCAGGAGTAATCCTTTCATATCAACTAATCACATCACATGGAAAAATTGCTAATCATAACTTAACATTAAAAACTTAGTCAGTAAAATCTTCTTTACTTACCTATTCTCAATATTTCTTATTTCCTCTCTTTGAGAATAGAATATATTTATCTTTTGCTGCAATGTTTACATGTTTATGTTTGTCAGTATCTTGTTGTACATTGTTCTCTTAAGGAAAACATAACTTCTTGCTTATTGCATTAAGACCTTTGTTGTCAATATTATGTTATATACATATATAATTGTATTCTGCATGTTTCTCTTTTTATACATTATTAAATAAAGAGTTATAAATGAAAAAAAATGTCATAACTGTTTTACAAAGAAGTATTTGGTAAATAGCTCCAGAGCAATTTAGACCATAGATGCATCAATATCACATTTAGTAAATAACAAGACAATGTTAATAATTATTTATTAGCAAAGATTACTCAGATGACGTGGTATACTCACATTTGTGACTTTTATGTCTCTGATAGTCCATTCGTTAAGGTCAGTACTTGACACAGTAGTCACTGTTATGTCACCGTATGTATTTGTTTTATTTCTAGACCAATAATTTTAGCTTTCCCCCTTAAAATGGCATATCACAAAGTGTTATACATAGTGACAGAAAATAATAGTTCTGTATAGGTATTTGCTTCATGCCTGAACTGCATTCTAAATTATATAGAGATTTATTTTGGCTATAATAATTTCTGTTTTAGAGCTATTTTATTTTTTAACAATTACTTTCTACTTAATAAAGTACATACTAATTGTAGTGGAATGGACATTTGCAAGCTAGTTTTTATTTCCTATATTGACTGTCCGTATTCCTACCCCATGTTACTTTGTCTGTTTCCCTGGTTATTTCATGTGGTTCCTCTTTGGCCATTCGGAAGACTTCATACGAACGGAATCCATTCGTCTCCCGAACGATGACCACCCCTGTGCCCCATTAGCATGTTAATACCAACCACTTAAACCGCAAGGTAGAGGTAGGAGTGCTTCTCCTGGGTGGCTGCCATTTCATATAACCAAACATGTGGCTGAGAGAATGGCGACCATCTTGTCTCCCGAACGAGGGCATCGGTACTTGGTCGTTGAGTGCCTAGAACTATTTTGGGCTATGTACTTGCGTGAACCACCTACACAAGCAGTGTTCAGGAGATATAAACTACTGAACAGGAGGAACATTCATATTCTGAACGTGTGAGATTTCCTTGTATGGTTTTCACACAGGAGCCCCACAAAACTTCCACACAATGGCATTCCCGTTCTACCAAACCGATCTGAGTGAGTCTTGGATATATTGTTCACTCAGATTGGGGCTTTTCGGGAATGTACTTTTTGTGGGGTTCCCAGGTATGGTTGGGGGACTTTTGGGGCACAAGATATTTTGTGGACTTATTGGGCCTGAGAGATAATTAAATTAGAGGAGTTTACTCAGGCAATTATATCTCAGGCACAAGGGATCTTGGGATTAAAACCCCTGCATTTTCTGCATGTGAAACCCCTTGCACGGGACTGGGCATAAAAGCAGTGTATGTGACAATAAAATTCAGTTGTACCCTGAGAGCTGAGTGTCGTTGCTGGGGAATTGGTGGGATATCCTTGGATTGTTTTATTTGTTCCTGAGTGTGTTTTGGCATAACCAGTGGAGAAGAGTCCCTACTAGGACTAGGGATCCGCTACACTAGTCCTCTATTTCTCCAACCTGTCATGCCTCTGCACCCTTTGCTGATATTACGTTTGCTATAATGTTTGTCATCTTTTAGAAACACTTGACACTAGAGACACAAAGAGACACTAGAGACACAATTACCACTTCATCTCGTGGATGTTGTCTAGGTGCAGTGTCCTTGACCCCTTAACTCCTCAATGTAATGTTTATATTGGAGGTTTAAGACTGGCAGACAGCCACTAGAGGACTTCCTGCTGTTTCATAGAGTTTGACTCCATGAACAATGCTGCACATTCTCACATCTTGCATGAGGATGTCCAGCATCTTCTAAATCCCCATAAGAAAGCATTTCCTATGGGGAAGACCTAATGCGTGCACAGCACATGTGCATTAAGTTCCCCCATTGGCTGACGTTGGCGGAGGAGGAGCACAACCCAACACCGTGAGATATTAGGGGGATAGATAGGGTAGAAGAGAAATATGTCCGGTGTCCTTCTAGGTTGCATACCTTTCCTTTTTCACTTTTATTTCCCACCCCTCTTACAGGTACAGGGATTTGGGATCTTGTATTTCCTTAGTGTTTGGCATGTCTTTATCCAGATCCGTTGGTATATATGAGGTCTGTTTTATCATTGTAGTACCATGTTGTATACTGCATGAATAAAACAAATACTTTAAAAGGAACTATCCCATTGGATTTGTCAGGATTTTCCTGTCAGTTCTCTCATTAGATGGCTATTGGAACATAGCAAATTCATGGTTCTGGGCCCTAGGTTGCCACCCAGGGGTACAATATGGTTAATCTTGCTCTGATCTAATGAAGTTAAAGTATAGAGTCAGGGCACTTACTGTAATATAATGTATTTTTAAATAAGGGTATCTTAAAGGTTCTTAAACTGTTTTGACAGGAACATTATGTGCCCAAAGAATGAGGTCAGCTGACTACCTGAATATACTGAATGACCAGGTAACTCCATAAATAGATTTTTTTCGTCCATAATGGCACGGGCATATTCCAAGAGGAAAATGCCAGGATTTATCGGGCTCAAACTGTGAAAGAGTGGTTCAGGGTGAACGAGACATCATTTTCACACATGGATTGGTCACCACAGTGTCCAGACCTTAACCCCATTGAGAATCTTTGGAATGTGTTGGCGAAGGCTTTGCGCAGTGGTCCGACTCTCCCATCATCAATACAAGATCTTGTTGAAAAATGAATGCAACACTGGATGGAAATACATCTTGTGACATTGCAAAAGCTTATCGAAACAATGCCACAGTGAATATGTGCCGTAATCAAAGCTAAAGGCAGTCCAACAAAATATTAGAGTGTGACCTTTTTTTTTTTTTTTTTTGGTGGCGACTTATTTTTGGCCAGGCAGTGTATATCCCCCAGTATCGACATGCTAAATGTATCTTTTTCATCAGAAAACAGCCCTCTTTTTAACATATTAGCAATCAGTAATTACTTATTCTGTCACACTACTCTCAGTAAAAGAATTAGAATCATCCATTTGTTTAAAAAAAAAGTACATTTTCAACTTATATCATATTAAGTCAATATGATAACATTTTTTATTGCCTCTGTGTAGAAAAAATACTTTTATTCTTTTGCGTTTCCTTTCATTCCTCTTTATTATTTTAGGGAATATATATAGTGCATAAAGAGACAACATATAGTGAATTATATAATGAAATTACACTCTTCATAAGGTTAGATTTCATTATAGCTTGGTATGTGACTTTGTGCTACTGCAATCTATGATAAGTATTTGGTTTAGGCAGATACTCTGTGCATAAATTGTGGTTTTCTGTATATTTATGTGTTTAGCATGCACACAGGATTATATTATGAAATATTATAGTCACCGACATAAACATGCAGAGATGGCAATGGCAGGTTTGCACGAGCTGCTGCATTTTCATCTGTAGAAAACAAGATGTTGATTAGTATTTCAAAGCAGAGGAAATAAAAATTAATCTGCTTTTATTCTGAAAGAAGATATGGTATTGCTCATGTTGTGAAAGTGGAATTATATATGAGACAAAAAAAAATAGGCAAAATTGGTAAAATAAGATATAAAGACACTGGAGTTTGCTTGAAAGTAGGCTATTTAAAGTAGTCTCTTTTAAGTAGGAGTTAAAACAACAGGAGTTGAAACTACAAGGGAGTTTAAACCAAGAGGGTTAACATTTTTTTTTTTTTTTTTCTCACTTGTGTTTTTTGTTACTGGGGATGAGTGCTAGCAAGATTGCAAATTTAACTCCGTGCACATCATGCCGCATGTATGCATGCCTGGATGATTCTGTCCAGGGTCCATACCTCTGTGGTGGGTGTGAGCGAGTGGCATTTCTGGAAGCTCAGATTAGAGATCTGGAGAGGCAAATTGTAACACTGAGGGAGATTGACAATCTTGAGAGGAGTCTGCTGCTCACTGAGCAGAGTTTAGTGGGGACAGGTAGTGGAGAGGGAGGAGATAAGACAGATGGGGAACAGGCACGTAGCTGGGTGACAGTGGGGAGAGGAAGCAGGGGGGGAGGGAAGAGAAAAGGTTTAGCTAGTCCTGATCTCATGCAGCCTAACAGATTTGCCCGTTTGAGTGAAGATGTTGGGAGCATCAGCTCAGGAGTAGCTGTACTGCAGGAAGCTGTTCCTGCTAACAGCCGTGGAAACAGCCCCTCTAGTACGGGTGGGGTTGAGAGGGTAAGGAAGGCTAGACAGGTTGTGGTGGTAGGGGACTCTATTATTAAGAGAGTAGATAGGGTAATCTGCCACTCTGATCGACTCAACCGGACAGTTTGCTGTCTCCCGGGTGCTCGGGTCCGGCATGTTGCCGACAGAGTGGAGGGATTATTGGGAGGGGCTGGAGATGACCCAGCTGTCATGGTCCATATTGGTACCAATGACAAAGTCAGAGGAAAATGGAAGGTCCTAAAGAATGAGTTCAGGGAACTAGGAAGTAAGCTTAAGAAAAGGACCTCCAAGGTAATTTTTTCAGAAATATTACCTGTGCCGCGCGCTACAGCAGAAAGGCAGCGGGAGATTAGAGAGGTCAATGCGTGGCTAAAGTCTTGGTGCAGGAAATAGGGTTTTGGGTTTTTAGAGCACTGGGACGATTTTGCACTTGGGTACAACCTGTATAGTCATGATGGATTGCACCTAAACGGAAGAGGGTCTGCTGTGCTGGGGGATAGGATGGCTAGAAGGTTGGACGAGATTTTAAACTAGTGGTAGGGGGGGAGGGTCAAAGCAATCTAGAAAATGGAGATATGATGGAAAAGAGATGGGCTTTAGCTCAGAACAAAGGGGGTGGAGATGGGGGGAGGGGAAAACTCAGAACAGAGGAGGTATGTAATATTGATAATTCACAAAAAGTACAAAAGACTCATGATAATATTAAATGTATGCTTACTAATGCAAGGAGCCTATATAACAAAATGGGGAACTAGAGGCAATAGCATACACTAAACAATATGATATAATAGGCATAACAGAAACATGGTGGGATGAGACACATGACTGGGCAGTTAATTTAAATGGGTATACGTTATTTAGGAAGGATAGGAAAAACAAGAAGGGTGGTGGGGTATGTTTATATGTCAACCGTTAGTTAAAGTCAAATCTTAGGCATGTGGAGTGTGACGAGGAAAAGGTGGAGGCTTTATGGGTAGATATCTGCTTGGGGAAAACAAAGGGAAATCAATTATTGGTTGGGATATGTTATAAACCACCTAATGTAAATATTAATGAGGAAGAACAGCTGTAAGAGCAAATTGAGAAAACTGCAAATCGAGGTAACACGTTAATTATTGGAGATTTTAATTATCCAGACATAAATTGGGAAAGAGGGACTAGTACTTCAGCAAGGGGAATCAGGTTTTTGAATGTGTTAAATGACACCTTTATGTCACAACTGGTACAAGCACCAACTAGACAGGATGCTTGTCTGGATCTTGTCATAACAAACAATGTTGATCTTTTAACCAACATTCAAGTAGGGAGCATTTGGGAAATAGTGATCACAATATGGTAAATTTTGAAATAAACTCAAAAAAGCAAAAGCAGGTGGGGTATACTAAAACATATAATTTTAAAAAAGCCAATTTCAATAAGATTAGGGCAGCTCTACAACATATCGACTGGCATAAACTCCTTAGTGATAAAAACACTGAGGATAAATGGAAACTATTCAAACATATATTAGAAAGGTACATTTCTCAGTATGTACCATTGGGTAATAAATATAAAAGAAACAAATTAAAACCAATGTGGCTTAGTAGAGAAGTAAAACAAGAGATTAAAAATAAGAAAAGGGCATTTAAAGCATTTAAATCAGACAAATCAAAGGCATCCTATTTAAGATATAAGGAAGCCAATAACACTTGCAAAAAGGCAATTAAAGTGGCTAAACTAGAAAATGAGAAATTGATAGCTAAAGAATGCAAAACCAACCCCAAAATTTTTTTCAAGTACATCAATTCTAAAAAAACAAAAAATGAAAGTGTAGGTACACTTGAAACAGAGTTGGGTTTATTAGCTAATGAAGACCAGGAAAAAGCAGAAATTCTAAATAACTATTTTTCATTCAGTATATATTAATGAGGATCCTATGGCAAGAGATATGCAAATGTTTGCTGCAAAAAACTTGCAAATAACTTGTGACTGGATAACTCGAGACAAGGTGCTACAGCTATTAAAGAAAATTAATGTAAATAAAGCTCCGGGGCCTGACTGTATTCACCCACGAGTACTTAAGGAGCTAAGTGGGGAAATAAGTGAACCTCTGTATTTAATTTTTCAAGATTCTTTTGTTTCAGGTGTTGTACCGGAGGATTGGAGGAAGGCAGATGTTGTTCCTATATTTAAAAAGGGTTCAAAATCCTTGCCTGGAAATTATAGACCTGTGAGCTTAACTTCTGTAACTGGGAAAATATTTGAAGGGCTATTAAGGGATAATATTCAGGAATTCATTGGGAAGAACTTTGTTATTAGCAATAATCAGCATGGTTTTATGAAACATAGGTCATGTCAAACTAACCTAATTGCATTCTACGAAGAAGTAAGTAGAAGTATAGATCAGGGTGTTGCAGTGGATGTGATCTACTTGGACTTTGCCAAGGCATTTGATACGGTTCCTCACAATAGGTTAGTCTTCAAACTAAAAGAAATTGGTCTAGATGAATATTCCTGTTCTTGGGTAGAACATTGGCTTAAGGACAGAGTACAACGAGTTGTAATTAATGGTAAATTTTCAGGCTGGACAAAAGTGGTAAGTGGTGTCCCTCAGGGTTCTGTTTTGGGACCACTTCTATTTAACATATTTATAAATGATCTTGAAATAGGCATTGAAAGCCATGTATCAGTGTTTGCAGATGACACAAAACTTTGTAAAGTAATAAAATGTGAGCAGGATATTGCTTTGTTGCAGAGAGATTTGGATAGATTGGGGGACTGGGCACTAAAATGGCAGATGAAATTTAACATAGAGAAATGCAAAGTTATGCACTTCGGGGTTAAGAATGCACAAGCAACTTACACACTAAATGGTAGTGAATTAGGGATAACCACACACGAGAAGGATTTGGGAATTGTTATAGACAACAAATTAGGCAGCAATATGCAATGTCAATCTGCAGTTGCTAAGGCCAGTAAGATTTTGTCATGTATAAATAGGGGCATAAATTCTCGGGATGAAAATATAATTTTGCCTCTTTATAAATCGCTGGTAAGACCACACCTTGAATATGCTGTGCAATTTTGGGCGCCTGTTCTAAAGAAGGATATCATGGCACTGGAGAGGGTCCAGAGACGAGCTACAAAATTGATAAAAGGAATGGAGCATTTTAGTTATGAAGAAAGGTTACAAAAATTAAATCTGTTTCGTTTGGAAAAACGGCGCCTGAGAGGGGATATGATAACTTTATACAAATATATTCGGGGCCAGTACAAACCTTTATCTGGAAATCTATTCATAAACAGGGTTATACATAGGACACAAGGTCACACATTTAGGCTGGAAGAAAGGAGATTTCATCTAAGGCAAAGAAAAGGTTTTTTACAGTAAGAACAATAAGGATATGGAATTCTCTGCCTGAAGAGGTGGTTTTGTCAGAGTCCATACAGATGTTTAAACTGAAATTGGATAAATACTTACAAAAACATAACATACAGGGATATAATTTCTAATTAGTGGGGTAATAGCTGATTGATCCAAGGAGACATCTGACTGCTATTTTGGGGTCAAGAAGGAATTTTTTCCTAGTTTGTGGCAAAATTGGAAGTGCTTCAGACCAGGTTTTTTGCCTTCTTTTGGATCAACAGCAACAACATTTCTGAGGAAGGCTGAACTTGATGGACGCAAGTCTCTTTTCAGCTATGTAACTATGTAACTATGTAACAAGACAGACAGATAGAGCAGATAGACAGATGTACCCGAGAGGTATAGTTGTCATAGAAAGCAGTAATTATATACTCACATGGTATAGCGCTGACCTCCATTCCAACTGACTTAAGTTTCTAAATACAAAAGTCACATTATCTTATCATTTAACTGCATTGAAATTACTGTATTAAATATTTGAATATTACCAGATATCAACATTGTTTTAAATAAAGGATTAACTAGGCCCCTACACTCAGACGAAGACCTATGTGCAACCTTCAAAACATCTTTGAAAGCTTACTTCTTCAGGAAAAAATAGTAATTAAGCAGCTTTTCCTTCCCGCACCCTGATTCCTTTCCTGCATTTGTCATCAAAACAAAACACTAAGCCCTCAGTGAATACTGTTCTAGCAACCTACTTTTCTACCATACCCTTACCTTTTGTGTCACTATACCCCACTCCCTCTAGCATGTAAGCTCATTGAGCAGGGCCCTCAATCCTTCTGTTCCAACTTGTCTGGGCCCTCAATCCTCCATGTGTCCAATTCGTCTGGTTACAGTATGTGTCTGTTAGTCCACCCATTATACGGGACTGCAAAATTTGTTTGCACTTTATAAATAATAATAATAATACATTTTCCTTCATACAGTAAAGAGTTTGACCTTTAGAATGTACTAAGCCATTATTAAGCCTTTAAAGCATTAGTCAAGTGGAGACTTAGGAGTTTACTTACTAAACAGTAAACTCCTGAAAATTGATAACTTACTTGCCTAATGGGAGAGATTATGAAATGGGAAAAAAAAATCTTAACCCTGGATGAATTATGCCCATTTTAGAGCATTTTTAGATTCCAATAAATAACTCCATCAGGTCAAGTCTGTGCTGCATTCAATAAGAACCACAGAGAGGGATGGAGGGGTCTGAGAACATGGGTCTCGATTTAATTCTTCTGGGTCAGTTTTTTAAATGATCACAATCTGTTAGAAATACTTTTCAAGTGATTTATCTACAAAAATTCACAAAAGCTTTAAAGGCGACTTCTGTAGATAAGTCACTTTAAAGGTTGTTTTTTTTTTCAGATTCCGATCATTTGAAAAGCTTGTCCAAAAATATTTTTTAAAAAGGCCATATCAGGCAAACATACATTCTCCTTTAAATTTTGACTTTGGTTTTGGAAGGTTTTTACAGTTACCTACAAGGAATGTGCTTGTTCATTTATTGCCAATAATTGTGGTTTTCCTACTTGTGTGTCATTTCAAATAAATTAGCAACTTAACTGTATTTTTTTTTAATCAACGAACATTAATCAATAAAGAGGTTAAAATACTTACATTAAACTCTGTAGATAGGTTTCTTCTTTGTTGAATTGTAAAGGTTTCATTGCCTTTTTCCCTATTTAATTGATTAACCAATAGAAGTGTTAAGTATCAGTATTCATATGTTGTATACTAAAAAAAAAAAAAATACTCCTCGATGATCTCAGCCAATGAGGAGGGCCAGCCACGAAGACTGGCAATCTCAATGAAGAAAAGGTAAGCAAAACTAAATTTTTTTTTTGCCCTGCAGATGGGTGTCACCTAAATGGCCACCAGTGAACTATAGTGTAACAAATACACATTTTTATTCTCAACGCTATGGTGTTCCTAGGAATTTGCAGCTTCGCCGACAGGAATTCTCAACAGTTTACAATTATGTAACAACGAAAGAATTCCCCTTTTATATCTTAATATAGGTGTTTTTATGCAGATTGTTAAAATTGGTAGCTTGTATAATATTAATATGCAAGGAGCCATATTTAATGTTCAACATTTCCGTATCATGAGAAAAAACGTACCTTTTTGATGATTTAGACGTGCTGTCTGAATTGCGTCTGTAAAGAGAACAATACATAAAATAAATACTCAAAATGATATTAGGTCAAAATAATTCAAACTTGAAACCAGACGAAATGCAAAAAATGTTTTAGACATACCCAGCCCCTCCTACACAGTAAAACAATATACTTATGCCTTAGGACCTTTTTTTCCAGAGGAAGAATCCTGCTGCACCCAATACTGCACATCCCAGGATACTTCCGACCACGGCTCCAGCTATGGCACCTAAAATGAAAAGCATCGTATGATAGCATGCAGACATAATATTCTTTGCATATTGGTGTAATATTCAAATCAGCAAAAAAACTTCAAGGTTTTTAAATAATTTGTTAAAATGTCCTTCAAGCAAGGTGTGGTGCTGCCTTAAAGAGCACATTTGTGCAAAAAGTGGATCATATGATCATATGGGCTTTAACCCATGTGAGTGAATCTACAGCCTTATCTCTACCATCTGCACTATATATTCTCTTTCTTTTCTTTTTCATATGGTATTGTACTGAAATTATCTGCATTTTATAAGGGGTAAAGTAGCCATTTTTAATATAGCACTCCACTATTTTTTATAAAGTTTCACTTGTAATATATATTTTAGATTACTTGTTGTTTGCTAAAGAAAGAAAGGTTTTTCTGCACAAGTGTTTTTGAGCTGCTGTAGACTTTATATGTTATTTTTAAACGCTTCTATCACACCTCACACCACCTTTATTAAGATTTAGTTATTTATGCTCTGATTGGCTGACTTACAAGCCAACCAATCAGAGTGCATTGACTGAGATTGTATAGCATGGGCAAACCCTTATAAAAAATAATATTTAATTATGAGTGTAAGTCTTAAAGATATTACATATATCCATATAATAAGCATGATTGATCCTTAATACATTATTTACTTAATTTCTTCATTCACTATAAAGCTATTTCTTTAGTTTCACACAGTGCAATCAAATTGATATACCTGATAATTGAGATGAGTTCTGAGATGAATTGTCAGATGTTTTAATCTCGTTTGAGAAAGGATAAAAAATTGCTACAGAGCGATCCTCCAGAATGGTTCCTGTGGCATTATCAAACTCAATGGCTGTGAATCCAGCAACACTAATCCTAAAAAATATTTGAAACATTAGAAAAGTATAAAAAAAAAAACGTACATTATGCAAACATCAATTGTGTATAAAAAAATTGCTTTACTGTATTGAAATTCTGTCAATAAAAGCCCATAGCAAATTTTATAAAGCTCATAGCAAAAAATAAATAAAATAAGACTCCTTATTTTGTTATTATATCTTGATATAGACTCCATATCTACAAGTTGTGTTTCTGCCTAGTTATTTAATGTTTTTTTTCCTATATTTTCACTGACACTGTTTACTGAATATCAATTCCTCCATTGAAGTCAATAGATAACTTGCTATCCTAAAAACTGAACAAATCTTTCATTTGCTCAGTGAATCCAACCCTTTAAGAAGCCCCTATCTGCAACGTAAATACATTTTCTGTATATTTTCTATTTAGCCATATTTCAAATACTCACCTGTTGTTTACTTACGTGCCAAATCCCCAGCTTTAATTCATTTCACAATTTATAATAATAAAAAATAATGTTCAATAAAATCATTGGCAAATTTCATTACCAGTAGGATGTAGATGGTTCCAGGGGTCCATTGTAATAGCCATATTTTTTATCTCCAGCACCGATTATAACAGTTACAGAATTTGCCGTTAGAGATCTCAAAGTTCTGCTCGCTGTTTCTTTGATGTTTGTGACATACGTATTAGTTTTTTTATTCTTGAAATCATCGTATGTCTTGTTCAGAATGCCACGATTTGGAACCTGGCCGGCAACTAAAGATTTAGCAGAGAAATTAGAGAATTATTCATAAGAAATCCTTTTGCTTTGATTCTCAAGATAAAAATAAACAGTTTTAAGCAGTGAGAGGTTAAAAAAAAAAATGGAGATTTTTGCTTACAAACTATGTCTGACAGTCCCAAAACAGAATTACAAGAATGCAAGACTGAACACTAGCAGATGACAAATGAGGAAAACAGCATCAACAAATTGTATTTGGGACAAGAAGAATGGAAAGTACTATTTTACTTATCCATTCCTTGTGATCATAAATATTTTAGACTTTAGAAAAATTAGGAAATAAACATATATACATAATGACACTTGTAAACTGGGATGTCATACGATTTTTTTTTTGTGTGTGTGCGTGTTTTTATAAAACTTGGTATGTGTCTTCTTACCTATGTTATAATTATATATATATATATATATATATTATGTTATAATAGGCGACAAGAGTATTGCATGATTGCATAAATATATGTAAACATACCTTTTGCATTTACAGTCTGAAGCAACAAATGATATAATTTAATACAAAACTAAAAAATATTCTGTTTTGCATTATGACCATATGCGAACAATATTCTATAAAGAGAACAGATTAAAGGAACACTATAGTCACCTAAATTAGTTTATCTAAATGAAGCAGTTTTAGGGTATAGATCATTCTCCTGCAATTTCACTGCTCAATTCACTGTCATTTAGGAGTTAAATCACTTTGTTTCTGTTTATGCAGCCCTAGCCACACACACTCCCCCCCCCCCCAGCTATGATTGACAAAGCCTGCATGAAAAAAAAAACTGGTTTCACTTTCAAACAGATGCAATTTACCTTAAATAATTGTATCTGAATCTCTAAATTGAACTTTAATCACATACAGGAGGCTCTTGCAGGGTCTAGCAAGCTATTAACATAGCAGGGTATAAGAAAATCTTAATTAAACAGAACTTGCAATAAAGAAAGCCTAAATAGGGCTCTCTTTACAGGAAGTGTTTATGGAAGGCTGTGCAAGTCACATGCAGGGAGGTGTGACTAGGGTTCATAAACAAAGGGATTTAACTCCTAAATGGCAGAGGATTGAGCAGTGAGGCTGCAGGGGCATGTTCTATACACCAAAACTGCTTCATTAAGTTGTTCAGGTGGCTATAGTGTCCCTTTAATTAACTTTTTAATACATGTGCTTTGATTTGCCCTACTTGGAATGTATCCCCAAGCAGGGAAAATCTCCTTAGTGATGTCAGCATGCTAGCTTTATTGCCAGTGTGCTGGGGTCAGAACAGAGTGACGTTATGTCACTCCATTCCAATACTCCCTAGCCAGCACAAGAAGCGACGATTAGGGAGTTTCCATAGCAACCACAGCACATGCATTGTAGTTGCTTTGGGTGAGAGCAGAGTAACTTCCTCTTGGAGGTCTTTTCTGCTCTCCTTTGACAGGCTAATGGCTGGGAAAAAAACATATGCTCAATATATGGTCAATCTAATGAGCATAAAATATTTGGGGCATGACAGGTCCCCTTTAAAATTGCCAAGATAATCGATTCTGAAATCAATTTTGTTCTTATCTGAATTAATTTACCAAATAACCCATTAACTCATACACAGGATCCAAGTATGAGTGAAACTAATTTCAGAATTGATTCATTTGTTTTAGAGCATTTTATTGGATGAATGCCTTAAAACAAATGTATGCCAATGTCTACTTTTTAAAACATAAATATTTTTAAACAACCCAGAAAATGAGTAATTCTTTAAAAAACTTGGGTAAGTGAATTCAAGTTAATATTTCCAGTAATGGTTCACTTAACAATATATATCTTTGACTATTATGTTCAAAATTATATAAGTCAGGGTTAGACAACTGTCGGGACTCCAGATGTTGATGACTACATCTCCCCTGATGCTTTGCCAGCATTATGGCTGTAAGAGCAATATGAGAGATTTAGTCAGTAACATCTGGAGTGCCACATGTAGCCTACCCCACGTATGGGAATACAGAAATAAATAAACAAATACTTAGGTTACCATTGCCACCAGTTGTTACTATCACAGCATAAGACTTTAAAGGTTCATTTGTGTTTTCAAACTTAGGGAAGCTAAAAGAAATTTGACTGGATGAGGGAGGTCCATCGGGCTGTGTAAGTATCCAGTTTACACCTGTAGAAAAAAGAATTACACATTAACAGTAAAATTGAGCTAACTACAGATGCAATTGACACAGCCATATAAATTTAAAGAATGTTGCAGTCTTCCTATGACAGCCTAGCAGGGCATTATGGCAAATGTATTCCAAAAATACCTAGAGGACAAAGTTGGATATCTGTCCTTTAGAAGGAATGCAACCTGTCCCTAAGTAAACACAATAGTATCATAATTGCTTCAGGTAATGCAGCAGCATAGCCATCCATTGCAGCCTGTCGTGGTATGAAAGAGGTTCTCCGGGTTCCATCAGTGTGGCGTTTGGGCTGCAGTTCCAGTACCAGCTGGTTCTTAGAGAGTCCTGAGTCAGGTTCAGTGTGGCCAACTGCTTCTGCAAGATTGTGAACCAGATATTTTGTTTCACCCTGCAGCACCATTAGTGCACGAGTCGGCCACCAGCTCTAGGGTATGTTCTTCTTTCTTAGAAGGCATGTGAATGGCAGCAGCGACCTTCGCCAAGCCAAGGTGCTCTCTGAGAGGTCAGAGTATAAAGTAAGTGACATGTCCTTGAACTGGTATTGCGTGTGCTCTCTGACAGCCATCGGTACTGCAGCCTTATCTTTCTCACTTTGGAGGTGGATAGTCTTTAGGCACATTGTCTGATGCCTGAGGGGACTTAGGCATCTGGAAGAATACAATGATTCCCACTACTTTGCCCTGTCTTGGGGAAAAAGCGCGACTAGTAGGCACCTAAGGAAGTGAGGGTGTTCAGTGGTCGACACGTCCTCAGTAATGCCCCTAATTTTGACTTTGTTTTTGCACCTCAGATCTTTGATGGCGGCGAAGCAAAGGTAATTTGTCTCAGTTTGCTGATGGAGCCCCTTGACTGCTTGCTTTAGCATCACAATCTGTATTACTTGATCGCAGGATGCATTTTCCATCACTGCTAGTCTGTCTGACAGGCCCTGTTTGTGGATATTTTTCTGGAGGTCCACGAGTGCTTTCAGCAGTCACTGGGGTGGTATCTGGACCAGTAGGCATCGGCACTGGGCGTGGTGTAGCTGGAGATCATCCGCCTCCTCCTCAGGGGACAGATCATCCGAGAATTTGGAGTAGGCCTCAGGATAAGCGGTCATCTTGGGTCCTGCCGCACCTGCTGCAGTAACTCTCCAATATTTAATCCCATCCATGACTTTTCAAATTTCTTTTTTTTTTTTTTTTGTGCTCTATTATGCTTGCCCTCTCCTGTGGAAGCTCCCCTGGCTGTTTGATTCTCAGTTTTAGGACCCACATATTGATATGTTGTTCAGAGCTCTCATTTAGTGCGGCCACTCAGCTCAACTGCTTGGCTCCACTCCCAAAATGATGTTTTTTTAGTATTACTTCAATGGCTATTCAAATGTAAGCTCACTTGCCATGTCAATTCAAAAACTTTAGTCAAATTGTATTAAAAGGATTTATTACCTTAATATCATTTCTTATTTTAGGTAGATCACAAGGGGCTAATTTACTGTTCAAAATATTGACTCTTTTAAAAACTAGAATGGGTATTCTTGGTAAAAACCTAAAACAGGGTCTTAAAATAAAATAAAATATTAGGCCAGTTTTATTTTATAGTCTTCCTAATTATATGTGCTTCTTTGTTACAGTGAGTGTCTGCTTATCAAAATTCAAGGTAACATTCAAACCATATGTGTATGTATTAATTACTAATAAAACCTCTGGTAATTTTGCTTCATCCCCATTCCAGATTATGAGGTCATTATCAATGTACTAGCTCTAAAGCATGATATTTTCAGAGTAGATCTGGTGACCATGGCTGTGCCACATTTTTGGAGGAAGTACCTGCCCTCAAACCAGAAATAGTTGTTTGCCAGGATGAAGTGTATATAATCTAAAATAAAATTAGTCTGATCAAGATCCATTTCTGGATATCCACAAAGTGCTTCTTTAACAGCCGACAGTGAAATGATAACAACAATAATAAAAATATAATTTATTTTAGAAAATAAAAGTTTGATTTGAACTTCGATGGCTCCAGTAAGGGCTCTCACATTCAAAGACATATAAAATCCAACAGAAACACAAAATAGATATTTAAACATAAACCCATGGACGAGCAGTCATCGATGAACACGTAGAGTTGTTGTATGGTGATGTTACGTGTCTTGTTGCAGACAATCTAATAATAAAATATTAAAGGGACACTATAGTCACCAGAACAACTACAGCTTATTGAATTTGTTCTGGTGTGTATAATCATTACCTTCAGGCTTTTTTGCTGTAAACACTGTTTTTTCAGAGAAAATGCAGTGTTTACATTACAGCCTAGTGATAACTTCACTGGCTACTCCTCAAATGGCTGTTAGAGATCCTTCCTGGGTCATGGCTGCCTAAAATGCATCCAAACATTCAGTATCTCCTCCCTCTGCATGCAGACACTGAACTTTCCTCATTCATTGATTCAATTAATCTCTATGAGGAGATGCTGATTGGCCAGGGCTGTGTATCATGCTGGCTCTGCCCCTGATCTGCCTCTTTGTCAGTCTCAGCCAATCCTATGGGGAAGCACTGTGATTGGATCAGGCTACCACATGTCAGCAGACAGCTTGTTTTTTTTTGAGGCAAACAGCATACAGATCTACAGCTTCAGGTTTGGATACAGTAATATTTTGCTATATTTATGGAGGCATGAGGGGCCCAGGAGCACTAAATGGTGGTTTACATGTTTGTGTTCCTGACCCTATAGTGATCCTTTAAGTAAGATGAACCCCACATTTGAAACGCACATGCCATCTAAAAGCCGGTCAGGAAATCAGTCCAAGGAAGATTACAAGAAGTGACACTGACAAATAGGAACAGAGGATTAGAACAATTTAAATGGACACAGGGGAAAAGGTTTTTTTTGCATGTTTTTCATTGCATTTAAATGTTTTTTATGTATGTGCCCCCTGAGGAAGTCAAGTAATTAGACAAAATACTTCGGACCTGTCTTGTTTTTACTATACTTTTTTGGAATAATTTTCTTTTACATCTGCACTCAGTGTTCCTCAGAATTCCTGTGGAGACTTAACACAAAGGAAGGGTAATGGTAGCCCCCTGGGAAGCACCAGGGAGGCTCGAAGCACAGTATCTACATCCGTCCTGTGAGAGCAATCATATCCATATAGCGATCTGTATTGTTACAATATCACACTATTTTTTGAATCTATATTTTTTAAGAATAGCTGAAAGCCCACTTGGTCTTTTTTTTGTATGTACAAACATATACACGCCTATATATGCACAGGTATCTATATGCATCATACAAATAAGTAAAATGCACCAGTTAAAAAATTTATAGGAAAAAGCATGATGTACCATTAAATCTAAATCTGCATTCTATACTCGGTCTTTAGTGTAGAAAAACCTGATCATTTTGGCTTCAGATGTTTTGAACGCAGATATTTTTTGAAAATGTCCTTGACTATTTTGGTTTTAAGGTCCTTGATAGTGTGGTTTTCCTAAGCCTGCCATTCCAACAACATGTTAGACTAATACAATTATATGTTTGGACCATATTTCTGTTGGAATATTGGAATATGTTGGAATAAACGTTTCTTTTATCAGTTACCTAAAATACCGAACTCATGAGTGCATGGTTTTTACCAAGATACATTGTACGAGTCTTATCCAGATTAGGCAGCTGTAATATGTATATTGTGTTTTGTTTTACCAAGATATATGTCAATGTTGATAATTAGTTCTGCATTTCACTGTGTCTAGTCATCTAGAAAATAATCTTGTCTGAAACAATGAGTTACCTGTTAAAATAACAGGCAGATTGTCTAACAATAGAGATAGATAGACAGACAGCTGTAGCATGTACTCACCTCCCTCGAGCCGCACAGCCCTCCTCCTGCTGCACGGTCTAATCGGTCAATGCGGCCATGCGGCAGGTCATCTGTATATAGGAAGTAGGTGTGACGCCATGCCCATTCTTAAAGTGAACACGTCATCATTGCAATCCTAATCTATTTTGAGTTGCAATGATGAAGTGGACCAATGAGAACACAGGTAAGCCTATTTAAGGCTTGCTTTGGCCCCTATTCTTTTCTCTAGCGTGGTTTCTTGTTAGATCCTTAGTTTAGTGCTCCTAGAGACTCCCTTGTGATTTCCTGTGTTTGACTTTTGGTTCGGATTTGACTTGTGATTTTCTGGTATCCTGGCCCAGCTTTGTGATTGACTCGTGATTTTCTGGTATCCTCACCCGGGTTTGTTATACACTGTGTTTTTCTGTATTCCTGACCTTGCTTTATTCTTGCCCTTGTTTCTCGCTATGCTAATATGTTAAGTCCGGCCATTCTAAGGCTAGGTAATATGTCTTCTGGATCCACCTTTTGTGGGTTTCCTCCTGCGTATTGGGATATGACTCCCATGGCAACAGCAGGACAGACATAAAAAAAATATAGGTGAGCATCTATACAAACTCTATATAATTAATCCTAAAATTTGTAATACAGCTAGTCTACAATGTCAAAACGTAAAAAAAAATATCTTCACTTTCTTCCTGTAATAAAATAACATATCTCAGGTCTCTGACAAAACATATACACATAGAACAGTTTGCAAAATAAGTACAAACGTTGAGGGAACGTTTGTGTATGTATTTTCAAAACAATATAACAGACAACATGTTATATCTATATGGCTAATTAATTACAGATATGTAACTGTGTGGGTTATTAATATTGTATATGAGAGTAAAAGAGTGTGTCATACTGGGGTGATGCCTTGACTCAGCTGAGCCTAACAAAGTGTAAAAAATAAATACATCACAGTGTAAACCTACTTGTGAATGCTGATATGGTCACTGGAGAACTCTGATACTGCCGAGCACCAACTGTTACTACAGCCGCTGTGTAATTAGTCCTGGATGTGAGATTGCTGTAAGTTAGATTAAAGGATTTCGATATATTGGAAACATTTACTGGTTCTCCCCAGGACAATAACATTTTGTTCATTCCAATTTTGGAAGAGCCTGGAAGGGTTGTATCTATAAAAAATAAAAATAATAATATTTAGTTACAGGAATCTGTATTTTAATAACTAAAAGTTGCAAATAATCAATAATATCTAGAAACAAATTATACAAAAACCTTCTTAGGACTCAGTTTGTAGGATTAGTACATAAAGATGTACTAAGATGTCCCATCATACTCACATGTTGCCTCTATCACTGGAGCTGCTGACTGGCTGCAGTTACTACTAACTGTCTGTATAGTGATGGAGTAGTTTCTGCCTGGCAGTAAGTCTGTGAAATCCACTTGTGTAGAATTAGTTGTGATTGTTCTATTGACGTCTCCACTCAGTGACTGTGTAATTATCCACTTTTGCTTCTGGCTTTACCCAGCTAACACTGAGGGAATTAGTAGCATTGTTGTTGTTTTTTATTTTTTATTTTTTTATAATAACAAGTTTACGAGAAAAAATGCACAGTAGTGACAAGTGGACATACATGAGAGAGTGGACAATTGAGCACATAGTATTATGAAAATACAGGGCTCACTGCATGACAAACATTAGTAATGAGAGAAAAAAAAGAAAAAAAACAAAAAGAAAAGTTAAATAAAAATATAAAAAAGAACACAATATTGAACAGTTTTGAGGGAAGGTTGGAGTGACCAAAAACAATGGCAACTGCAGAACAGTTTGAAAACAGGTGTTTTACATAGAACATTCCAATGAGCACAGCAGAAAAGTCACGTTAAAAAGAATCTCCCCATTTATCCATTACATTTTTATTTATTTTTAAGTTGCATTGTTGGGTTTGCTTGTGATGAAGAAAAGAGAGATCAGATATGTCTGGCAGCAGGAGAAGAGTGTAAGAGAGAGAAAAAAAGAAGAAGAGAGAGAGAGGAAAAGAAAGCACTATATGAACCTACTAAAGCACCCAAATATACATTGTGAGGTTGTTCCAACTCAGTCACAACCTCCTTAATCCCCCTGACCCATCTCCCCCTATCGCTGATCCCAAATTGTCCCCAAATTCTATCATATGCTTGCATGTTTTTGCAGCATAATGGGCTATCTTTTTCCATGTGTTATTGTGTGCCAAGACATTGAGTCTTATAGATAAGAGTCTGTTTAGTCACCAGAAAAAGATGGCAAGTGAGTAATTTCTGTGATCTAGCCCAGGTGTCTGGCAAAGTTATACATGAATGTGAAGTAACTTACTCTCTCCCCTAGAGAGGTCAGTCTGAACTCACCTGTGCAGGTTGTATATGAGACAGATTGACTTTCAGTGACATTATCAGCCGCTCTTGTAAATACAGTGAATGTATATGTTACTCCAGGTGTCAGATTAGTTACATTGAGTTGATTTGTTACAATAATTTAATTTATCACTACAGATGACGCATTTGCTGTTTGTGTTCTTTATCTATATTCGGAGTTGTACTCATCAGGTGGATCCTAAATCAGAGAACCACCACAATTTAAGTAGATATGTGTGAGAGTGTTTGTTTATTTGTGTTTCTGTATGGTTTAGTAGTTGCCTTACAGTGTAATTCTAGGTATATGAGTGTGTGAGTTACTGATATTGTATGTGTGAGAGTCATAGACTGTGGTATATTAGGGGGGTGCATTGACTCAGCAGGGCCTAGCGCAGTGTAAAACATAAATACATCACAGTGTAAACCTACTTGTGAATGCTGATATGGTCACAGGAGAACTCTGATACTGCCGAGCACCAACTGTTACTGCAGTAATTGTGTAATTAGTCCCAGACGTGAGGTTCTGAAGGGTGACATTTAATGAGTTTACTGTCACAGTCCAAGAGGATGAAGAATTGCTGTAAGTTATCTTGAAAGTCTTTGTCACATTGGCCATATTTACTGGTTCTCCCCAGGACAACGAAATGGTGTTTGTTCTGATATTTGTAAAGTTTAAGGAACTTGGAGAGGCTGGATCTATTCAAAAAAATAATTATAAAAAAAAATAAAATAATTAATTAACTCCTTAAGGATCGAGGCGATTGTACAAGTTCAGATCAAAACAAAACCTTGAATTTGTGCTATATATAAGTTCAACTGTGATTCACCTCTTTCATATTAAATGCATCCACACTGATTATATATCACTGTGTTCAGGAGAAACAGTTGTTTCATGTCACATCAAACATTTATGTAAGAAACATAATTTAATAGAAATAAAATATATTTTTCAGTTTTGCATGGCATTCTAGGTGCAATTGTCATAATACTGTTAGCTGTTACTGCTATAACGTACACATTTGTGTTCAGCAATGTAAACTCACAAGAAAAACAGTAACCCCATGTTTAGGTTTTACGGTGTTTTGGAAAGTTACAGGGTCAAATATACCATGTTACATTTTTAGTTTATACTCATTGATATTTGCCAGATTGGTTATGTTACCTTTGAGGCCGTATGGTAGCCCAGGAATGAGAATTACACCCATGATAGCATACCATTTGCAAATGTAGACAACCTAGTAATTACTTAGTCACAAACACTGGCCAAAGTTAGCACCTATCCCGAAGGAATGCCCAGAATAATGTAAGTGATTGAGTCCTACTCTCATTAATATGATTCTGACATAAATCATGAACTTGCTTGTAGTGAGAACAGCCCCCTGTAAAGTAAGTAAAGGTTGACTTCGAGGTGATTGTAAGTTGCCTAGATATGTATCTATTGTCCTTCCTGGACACCATTTATTAAATGTAGGGTAATAAGGAACTTTTACTGTTTGACCTGGTTGACTGGTCTGAGTATGTTGCAGAGAGAGTACATAGTGGTCTTGATGTTTGATGATAAAAACACACAGTGAGTCAGTGCTAAATAACAAAAGTTAAATAAGGCAGCAACCCTAAGAAGGGGGATCCCTCTCAACCTTTCAAAATAACATACAAAAAGGAAAACAGATAGAGAAGGGCTGCGCCACAGAAAAGAGTACTAAAATCTTGTCCCAGAAATATAGGGACAAGAAAATGTCTCTTTTGTAATATAAATAAGTGCAGCTGTGGTTACTGGATTATTTGTGCTTGGGGGATGTGACAGGTCTGGGTCTCCTCGGTATGTGGAAAAAGAAAAGACAGAGCGAACTGACTTGACGGATAACACATAAGAGGTAACAATATTGCACTCACATGAAAAAGAGCTATGACCAGCTCTAGTGTATATCGCATACAGTGGTATAATCCCCACTTATGGGATATGATGATCGTAGTCTTTCACAGCATATGGTGTCTAGGTGCTCAGAGAAGGAGAAAAGGCCACAAATAGTGCTCTCAGTAATATAAGTATATAAAATAAGCAGAATATTACTTACAAGCGTAGAGCAGACTACTGCTCTGTGATGACAGCGTTAGTGGTATAATCCCCACCTAGGATGTTCATGAGAGTAGAATAAGTAACAGGTCTTCAAAATAGATAAAATGCCAGGACAAAAAAAATCTGTTTGAGTAGATTATTGAAATAAGGAGGTAATGGGTGTAGTAAAAACAAAATCCTTTATTCAATATTAAAAATCTTTAAAAGTTAATATTCATAATGCGTTTCACCATGTAGGCTTTTTCAAATGGATCAATAACAGACAACCTGGCAGATATGGTTTATATAGGGGAGAGGGTAGTTTAAAAATGGCTCTAAAATTACATCATAGGCTGACCACCAATTAGCACACATAGAAATTATGTACATTGAAAATTCAGTAAATAATGGTGTGGATTAATAGCAGGAGGTTTGGGGACCACTGCCATTATATTTGATTTTAAAAACGAGCATTACATAGCTGGTTTCGGCTGCTTAAAGCCGGGGCACGTGACTTGTGTCACGTGCGCGGCTGTGTCTGATGGGGAATGTAATTCTAAGGGTGATTGTTATCACTCTCGGTGAAAACAGAGTGTTTTGTAGGGATAAGGGTGGGGAGCATGCAGTTTAGTAGTATTACTACTGTTAGGTGAGAGAAAAAGGGGAAGATTTATAAAGATAAACGGAAATAAAACAAACTGGGACGGTGGAGGATCTATAATCAGCCTCTTTTTTAAGGAGTGTTTCCCATGACAACACCTATTGGATTTGTCCACCGATAAGAAAAAGGAGGTGTGGGAATGGGCCCTTGAATGAACAGTTGAACCAATTCATGTAGTAAAAGTGTATCTACTGAAGCCGGGTCATTAATAGCTGACTGCAAGTTTTTACATTCCACAAAACCAGTAAGTAAGGCCAATATGCCAGTGTGGAAACCATTAGAAAATCCTGAAAGCAAGAAGTTCACTAATTGTGGGTATGGGTGTGACTATGACAGTTGAGACAACATAATAACATTAACAATGTAAAATACAGTTTGGAATGTAGTTTATTGGGGCATATAGCTTTAGAATGTGCTCGGAAACATTGTTTATAGAGATGCAATAACCTACAGGCACTGAACCCACTAACTCCCGCATTAAAATTGTTGCATATTTAGGATTTGCCAAGGAACACAATTGATCTGCCAAGCTTGTCCTTCATGACTTCCTCAGACCTGGCTAGTAAACCAGGGGGTTGTTGGCCCGAAACTGAGGCATCATTAGGACAAAGATTTGTAGCGTGGGATGTTGATTAACATAAAGCACAGGCTACTGTCCTGAGGCCAGCAAAATGCCTAAAGAACAACTCTGTATCCAGTTTACTGCAGTTAATGACCTTATCAAACTGGGCCAGAGTTGCTGCTGCTTTGGCCGAAAATGACCTATGATAGTCATAAAAGTCGTATCCGCCATATTTGTGTCCCAGGTCCACCAGCTTATTCATATAAGTGTTGAATTCTCTCCTATGTGGCAAGCTAGTACACACAACATCCCTATATATCCCAAACACCAGTACAAATTCTGGAATGGTAAGTTTTTTTTACTGAGACTGGGATCTCTGGCTTTGAGAACCACAGATAAGTCCCCATAAGCATACGTCTTATTGTCCATGATATCCTCGGAAGCAATAAGAAGTGAAACCAAATTCACGTCCTTACCTTCCAGGATATCTTTGCAGATCTGAGGTGGCACTGCATGGGCTGGTGTTATCACGAGAGTATCAATCAGGGATATGGGGACTGCTAGATTACCCTGTAAAATAACCATAGCTATAACCTACAGGCACTGAACCCACTAACTCCCGCATTAAAATTGTTGCATATTTAGGATTTGCCAATGAACACAATTGATCTGCCAAGCTTGTCCTTTATGACTTCCTCAGACCTGACTAGTAAACCAGGGAGTTGTTGGCCCGAAACTGAGGCGTCATTAGGACAAAAATTTGTAGCGTGGGATGTTGATGAAGACAAAGCACAGGCTGCTGTCCTGAGGCCAGCAAAATGCTTAAAGAACAACTCTGTATCCAGTTTACTGCAGTTAATGACCGTATCAAACTGGGTCAGAGTTGCTGCTGCTTTGGCCGAAAATGACCTATGATAGTCATAAAAGTCGTATCCGCCATATTTGTGTCCCAGGTCCACCAGCTTATGCATATAAGTGTCGAATTCTCTCCTATGTGGCAAGCTAGTACACACAACATCCCTATATATCCTAAACACCAGTACAAATTCTGGAATGGTAAGTTTTTTTTACTGAGTCTGGGATCTCTGGCTTTGAGAACCACAGATAAGTCCCCATAAGCATACGTCTTATTGTCCATGATATCCTTGGAAGCAATAAGAAGTGAAACCAAATTCACGTCCTTACCTTCCAGGATATCTTTGCAGATCTGAGCTGGCACCATATGGGCTGGTGACATCACGATAGTATCAATCGGGGATATGGGGACTGCTACATTACCCTGTAAAATAGCCGTAGCAGCAGCTATAGGATTTGCTGCCAAGTGGTCAGACTGTAATCTGTCGATTCTATCTCTAATTTGGTCCATGTATGATATGAGAGAATTCATTATGGTTTGTAAGTCAGGCGTGTTGTTTTTTCCACTAGACAATTTCCCTGTGAGTGTCTGCATTAAGCTAAACAACTCAGCTTTCCTGGCAGTAGCCTGGAAGAGAACATTCCTTCTTCTGAGTTTGGCTTTAATGCATGGTATTGTCCACAATATAATGGATGAAGGACTGGCCGAATCACGTCTCCGTGATGGTGAACCAGACCTAGCTGTGGTGTTAGGGAGTGAAAGATCATCTCCCCATTCCGGAACTTGCGACATAGTAAAAAGAGAATTGGAAATTAGGATCTCGTCACCTAGGGTACTGGCTGCTAATTAGTGCCAAGTACTGAAAATATTCACTACGTGGTGACAGGTGAGGCCCAACTAATGCCAAGCAGCTTGAGAGGCTCTATCTGTTGGATCAAGGGCCTATTAACCACGGAGCATTGTGGCAGGATGTTGGCCTCTCAGTGACAAATTAAGAGAAAATTAGAATTGGGAGTGACAAGTGAAGCCCTCTCTATGTAACTTGCGAGTGGCTATCTATGCATAG